GGCACCAAACTCCTCCACAAGCAATCGAGCAACTTCAGTATGGCCTTTAGCAGCTGCAAGATGAAGAGGAGTTGCATTGTGCTCATCCTTGGCATTCACATCGGCACCAAACTCCTCCACAAGCAATCGAGCTAGTTCTGGGGTTCCAGGGAGTGCATCTGCAGCCACAAAGTGAAGCAATTTCAAAGTTCGACAAACGCCATCCTTGACACGACCGGGCATGTCTTTGACCACAAACGTGGGTTTTGCTTCACCTGCCTCTGAATTGATTGACTTTTCTACAGCCATTCGTAGCATAAGCATTGCAATGTCCGAGTGGCCACCAAGGACAGCGAGATAAAGAGGAGTAAGATTGTCTTTATCACTGGCGTTTACATCGGCATCAAACTCCTTCAATAGCAATCGAACAACTTCAGTATGGCCTTTAGCAGCTGCAAGATGAAGAGGTGTTCGATTATTCTTGTCACGGGCATTCACATCGGCATCAAACTCCTTCACAAGCGTTCGAGCTAGTTCATCGTGACCAAAAGCAGGTGTGGAATGAAGAGGGGTTCGATTGTCTTGGTCACGGATGTTTACATTGGTGTCGAAGACACTGGAAGCCAACTGTTCTTTTTCTTTTGTTCTCTCAGAATGATTTGCTTTTTGCTGCTCTTGGCTGCTACAAGCTTTGTGTTTGAGCAAAGCACGGGCACAAAGCTGGGACCCTGCAGCCGCAGCAGAGTGCAAGAGCGTTTGTCCATTGAAGTTGCAGCTCTTGACATGGTTGGAGAAGTCAAGCAGCAACAAGGATTGCATTGCTGCTGAGTCATCTGAACAAATTAGACAATTAGCAAGTTCGGCAATGTTAGCACCTCGCTCCAAGAAAAGGCTGGCCACTTCCCGATGACCTTTCTTCACAGCTTTGTACAATGGAGTGATGTTCTTCTTGGATTTGGCATTCAAATCGGCTCGCTGATCAAGAAGCCAATTTGCAATCTGTTTGTTACCCTCTGATGCGGCATGGTGAAGGGGCGTCTGTGCAAATCGATCACGTGCATTGATTAATGCTTCGAACCTCTGAGCCAACCTGAAATTGTCCTCTGCAACAGCAAGATGGAGTGGGCTGCCCCCAAGTTCAACCACGGGGGGGATAGCAACAAGACTGGCCCAGCGGCGTATCCGCTCCTGCTTTGCGGGTGGCAACTGACAATCCTTGCATAAAGTCCATTGGCATTCGAGGCAGCGGTAGCACCGCACTTCCAATTGACTTTCACATCTCTCACAGGAACGGTTCTCACCTGATAGGTCAGAAGGCTCAGCATGAAGTGGAGCACAGCATGCAGGACACATTTCCTGCTTCTCTTGCGCCGCTTTGCAGATGGCCTTGATGTAATCTTTGTCAGAGAGAAGGCTAAGCTTGACTGAAGGCGTAGCAGCGAGTACCAGGGCATCCACCGGTTCGCCTTCAGAGTTCTCCACTTCCAAGTCACACAAGTCATATCCGGCTGTGCTGGCCAAAGGGGGCCCTGGGCCGCTTTCCCTGAAGGTGTTCCAGGAAGCAAACAACATGGCCCGAAAATTGGCAACACATCGGTGCCGTCAGTGCGGAAAAGACTGTGTAATGTTTTTTTGTTGATCTCAGGATTAGCTGGTGTCTCTTCCAGCAAACAACACTTTGCAACTTACGCTTCTCGATTCAACATCACAGAGTGCAAAGTGAGCATCAGCTCCTCATTTTTCTAACTCTTTCTTGCCACATGCAATTAGACCCTTTAGCCTCTGGACCTTCTACACCCCGCCTGGTCACCGCCAAGGTGTGATACCCCGACCCTGCGCTGCGGCTCTCCGACCGCGCCACAAGATGGAAGTTCACCAGTGGATCTCGACCGAGCTGCACAGCTTCGTCAGCCTCCTGGCAGTTGGGGATTAAAAAAGAGCAAGAACCAGTCGGTACGTATGTACACATAGTCTAGCTCAATATGTGCATGTATATTCCAAAATATGTATGGTTCATGCTGGTGATAGCTGTTTTCATGGTGCGAAGCGGATGTGCAACACATTTGGCATTGTTTGACACATGTGCAAAGCTGTGTTTCCAGCGCATATGTGTTGTGAATGGTGTAGTCCTATTCTCCTGGCATTTGGGGATTCACAAAAGATCGTTTGTCCAAGGCGATGTACATACATATTTTCTCTCTATATATATGTATATGCTAGCGGGCTGAGAACCGCGCTAGTAGTCGTGCAGTTTTGATCAAAGCAATGCTCATGTTGTCACACGTTGCGTCAAAGTCAGACCCTTTCATTTTTACTGTAGATAGCAGTGTTTTCTCATGTTTCCTCCGTGGCAAGAGCTTATATGTTTATGCTGCCTTCTTGCATTTTTGCTGAATTTAGCTTGTGTTTCCGATTTTTACGCTACTCTTTCGGGACGGTAAAATATAGTTTTCTACATGTATTTTTTTCAGGGTGAGCTTTCATCGAGACACTGGACATTCGTGCGGGGTTCCTCTTGGACCTTTGGGACTTGGGGTCCAGGGGGGGGTGGGGGGTGAAAGAGTGACTAGGGCGTACACGGTTGAGGTGCAGACCGCTAGTGTCTTTTATGCGCAGAGTCTTATCCTCTTGTCTCTTCTTGAGCCTTATGGCAGTCAAGCATGGACACACTAGATAGGCCACTGGAGTGGAACCTGTACAAGTAGGCTCTACATTTCAGCAGGCACAAAATTCATGTCCACTCCTGCCTATTGCGTATGTCGCACACTATTTTTCTACCGTAAGGCTAAAACAGTCCAGCAAGCTCTAGTAAGCTTAAAAGGAAACTACGGTGCCCTGTACTTACCAATTCCAGTGTGTTGCACACGATAGAAAAGGTAATCTCAAGGTATACTAAATACAGTGAGGGAGCAATAGCTGACTCACCTCAAATACAAAGTCAAAGACAATGTACCTCGGCTGGAGACTGTATCGTTCACCGGCGAAGATACCATGTACCGGCGCTCAATAGCCCTAAAATAGCCAGAGCGTTTCTTAATTTAAAAAGGGAAAGCGGCTTTATTTTCACAGAGACCTGGAAAGACAGTAAACGACACTCGCGTAACGAAAGAACTAAAATTCAAGACCGCACAAATGCAATGAATTAATATGCCTTGCAAAATGCAAGGAGCGTAAACAATTCGGTCCGAGAATTGGTCTTCTCGCAAAGTGGTCTCGGCCGCTTCCATACACAGGACTTATATCAAAAATTGAATTGCATCAAAAGGACTCTCTCACATTGACATCAAAATCAGCCAAAAACAAAAAGGAAGGAGATACCGGCAAATGTATGTACAAAAATCTTGCACTACAATTGCAACTTCAGAAAATGACTTAATCATCAACCATAAATGGTTGTCCATTAGAGGTCACTTCAGAAAAAGCGGTTGTGATAGATATCATCAGTTTTGCAAAACTGTCCATACCTATCTGCATGCTAAAGCTTAAAAACCTGGAATGCAGGAGTATCTTCCTTGACAAAAAGTTTCTCCTTGTTGCAAACCAGAGCTCATCAAAACTTCAGCCTGGCAACTTAAAGTCAAGCCTGGAAGCAAAGTAT